ACATTAATACATCTCTCTAATACACACATTAATACATCTCTCTAATACACACATTAATACATCTCTCTACTACACACATTAATACATCTCTCTACTACACACATTAATACATCTCTCTAATACACACATTAATACATGTCTCTACTACACACATTCATACATGTCTCTACTACACACATTCATACATCTCTCTAATACACACATTCATACATCTCTAATATACACCTTCATACATCTCTCTACTACACACATTCATACATCTCTCTACTACACACATTCATACACCGATGGGACACTTACAGATACAATGAGGGGTTCAGTGTTTTGCCCACTTCATGGACACTTCAACATTTGACAGGTGGTGGAATCAAACCCCCAACTCTCCCATTGCAGGATGACTGCCCTAACCACTCAGCCACAGCTGCCCAGCTATGAAACTTTGTGGAAATATTCTCTGGATGCACGTCCACAATTTAGTTGTTGGAGTTAGTTATTTTTTTAGATTTGAATTGAATCCCGTAGACGTGTGCAGCGCAGAGAGCTGCTGATAACCGGGCTGTACCTCGGGTCCAGAAGAACTTGTCTTTGTGTGCATTTATTGTTCGGTGTCTGCCGACCGTTCAGACACACTAAACGGTGAAAAACAACAGAACGTCTTCTCTGTAGGGTGTGACATCTGGACTGCAGCTGCTCCTGTTCAGGTGTCATGAGGCTGAGGCGGCTGCTTCTTTGATTTTTACCTTTTTTGTTTTTGCTTTCAGCACGCAGGACATGTGACCATCACTGACGGCTCCGTGTGCATGATGGACCTGCGGTGATCCACTTCACCACGACGTTCACAGACTCTTTTATCCAACTGCAGATGTTTTGCTGAAAACACAAACAGTCGTTTGTTTTGTTTCTTTTCAGGACGGTACTGAACCAAAGCCGGCCGTGAGTTTGCCCTTCAGACGTGATTTGTTCTGAAGTTTTTGCGTCATAAGAAGAATAAAACGTCATATTATTGAAAACGTCATATTATTGCACTTTCCAAGCATCTACTCTCCCCTAAAGACTCGTCTGTTTTTGTCTTCATGTGCTTCACTTCCTGTTCAATCATCTTGAAAACGTTGTTTGTCTCGGAGCTCGACTCTCCTCAAACGTTGCTTCTCCTGACAGATAAAGTGCCGAGGATGTGAAAAAGTTTTTCATCGTGCAGTTTGAAGCTCTGAGTTTGTCTGGAACTCTTTGTCGTGTTAACTCCATGTTTCCTTTGATTAGCTCATGAAAGACAAGCCAGCAGTGACTCAGGTGCACACGCAGCGCTGCTGTGGCCGCCCTGCGTCACGTTTTCGACATCATCGCATCGTTTTTCACCCGCCCTGAGGCTTTTCCCTCCACTTCCTGTTTCATGACGAAGCACTGTCATTCCCCGATCTGTTACTGAAGCACGATCCGTAGTGTACTGCCGGGTCACACGATCTCCGTTGTTTATGAATGAAACTGTCTTAATTTACTTAGAAAAGTCTGTGCTCTATCTGCACCGATCTTCAAGGAGCTAATTTACGCCACTCGTATTTCTGTTACAATCACTGGTTCTGATGATCTGCGACGCATTAGAGCTGACCCCAGTCTGGGCTGAGTGAGGAAACCCTGCGAGACACAGAATGAATTATTTCCACTGTGAAACAGCTCCGCTCAGTGATGAAGCTGCACTTCATCTGAACCATGTTGGAAACATGTTAATGATGAAGCTGCACTTCATCTGAACCATGTTGGAAACATGTCAGTGATGAAGCTGCACTTCATCTGAACCATGTCAGAAACATGTTAATGATGAAGCTGCACTTCATCTGAACCATGTCAGAAACATGTCAGTGATGAAGCTGCACTTCATCTGAACCATGTCAGAAACATGTCAGTGATGAAGCTGCACTTCATCTGAACCATGTCGGAAACATGTTAATGATGAAGCTGCACTTCATCTGAACCATGTCAGAAACATGTCAGTGATGAAGCTGCACTTCATCTGAACCATGTTGGAAACATGTTAATGATGAAGCTGCACTTCATCTGAACCATGTTGGAAACATGTCAGTGATGAAGCTGCACTTCATCTGAACCATGTCAGAAACATGTTAATGATGAAGCTGCACTTCATCTGAACCATGTCAGAAACATGTCAGTGATGAAGCTGCACTTCATCTGAACCATGTCGGAAACATGTCAGTGATGAAGCTGCACTTCATCTGAACCATGTCAGAAACATGTCAGTGATGAAGCTGCACTTCATCTGAACCATGTCGGAAACATGTTAATGATGAAGCTGCACTTCATCTGAACCATGTCAGAAACATGTCAGTGATGAAGCTGCACTTCATCTGAACCATGTTGGAAACATGTTA